CGAAAGGAGGTAAAGACACTGTTTCAGCAGTTATATACCGCCTTGTGCATTGAGGAGCATCAGCTGAACAAAGAGAAGGAGCTCATAGGGAGACTAGAGGAACTGAAGGAGCAAATAGCACCACTAGAAAAAGTGAGAAGTTTCTCATTGTATTTTACTTATCCTCCAAATGCAACCTTAATTTATTTCAAGATTTTAATTAGGTCCCTGGTATGCTTCAAATAGTTCCAAGATCACTGAAGCAGAGGATGCACCAAATGTATACCAAACCATATCTGTCTCTGGTTACTGTGAAAGTATCTTTTTCCCCTGATTTATATAATTGGAAATGAACTTGGTATTAAATAAAGACTGGGACTAATGCAACAGAACATCTCTGAAGATAGAGAAATAAACACCTTTGTGAGGCATCCAGAGCATGTTCAGAGTAAAATATGCATGATGGCAAGATACTGATGAAAAAGTCTAAATTTGTCTGCATAATCTAGTTTGAAATCATATGTTTCAAACCACCTAATATAAATATAAAGTGCTGGTTTTACATAATCTCTTAATGATATTAACAGAATTGTTTTTGAGAATGCAAGGTGTATGCTTCTGTCTTCTGCAGGTAAAGCTGGAGCTCCGCCGGAAAGCAGAGAAGAGGACAACCTTGGTGTTGTGGGGAGGCCTGGCCTACATGGCCACTCAGTTTGGGATTCTGGCACGCCTCACCTGGTGGGAGTATTCTTGGGACATTATGGAACCAGTCACCTATTTCATCACTTATGGTAGTGCCATGGCAATGTATGCTTATTTCGTAATGACTCGCCAGGTAGGACTTGCTGTGCTGATATTGACACTTCAGTAGAAGACTTTTTGAGCTCTACTCCCTAGAAAAATAGCAAAACTGTGCTTGTTAAAAGTAGCTTTGCCTCTTCCTTATCCTGTTCGAACCTAGATGCAGCTTAATTTAATTTATGCTGTCCAGGATGCTAGCGTATGATTGTGTGCTTTTCTGGTGGTGGTCATTGCTGATTTCTGGCTGTCTTGCCATAAGTGCTTGTGTGTGTCTGCTGGCTGACTGCTTTAGCTAAACAGGTTTATCTTCTGACACACAATGGTTTCTGCATGCACACATATGCAGCCCCATATATTGACTTGCATTGGAATCTTCCAGTCAAGTGAAGCTTGGACTGGAAGCTTCCGGTCCAAGTTGAGTGCTGTGATTTATCAGCCCAAATGAACTATGTGTGTATGAGGTACCTTCCTGCATTTCAAAGAAGTCCACCTTTTTGACATGAGTTCCTGGCCTTTTTAAAATGACAAAAGTTCAGGGATCTTGTTGGAAATGCTTTTGTGTAGGTATTTCATGCATCTGACTTCTTAATCAGGTGAAGGATCCTTCTCTGCATCCTTGTGGTTTTGAGAGACCGCGTGGATTTTCTAGTACATGGTTTGCCTCATCATTCAACATTTAAACTTCATAATCCTTTCTAAATAATAAGGGAGTGCTTGAAGAGTCTCTACTGTCACAATACCATCAGAACAAACACTGTAGGGTTCTGTCAGCTGCAGGATTTCAGGGGCTGAGAACACACGTGCCTCTGTAAGGGCTGCTGCAATAGGCTGTCAAAGTTCAGTTGGAACTTCTGGTTTTAGCCCAGATTTGATTGTCATCTGTAATCAATTAGTACATCTTCTGCCAGACCTTAAGATCTCGGTATTTCGTGTTTGGTGTGACTATAAATGTAGCTTTTGTCCACCTGACAGCCCTGATCATTGAATGCATACCCAATACAGAGGCTGTGTAATGTTCCAGTGCAAGGGAGAGTTAACTTCGGCAGCAGACCTGTGCTTTGTAGGGCTTATGTGGGATTTGGTGTGAACAGCTCTGCTGCTCCAAGTTATCTGCACACTTTAAAAAGCTGTGACTTTTTGCAGCAGAGTATCCCTGGCAAAAGCTGGGGTATCGGGTTCTTGTTCTCACTTGCATAGCTTGGTTGACAGATGAACTCATGAGCAACTATTGTTGCTTTAATTAGCTATTGCATGTTTATGACCTTAAGAAAAATAAAGTAAGGATCATCTTACAAAGGCTTTCTTCTAGTATTTATAGATTTTTTTTTTTTTTATTATCTTTTTTCCCCCTCCCTTTCTCCCTGCGAACTTGTCAGTATTGGAACACTCAAAAGTGTTAGTTTTTGTTCTCTTAGCATGGAAGGATTCACACTTTCAGGATAGCAGGAAGGTGATGGTAACTTACTGCTGGTGTGTAATATACTAGTAGAGAAGCAAATGCCTGACTGTACTGGGTCTGGCTGGGATGGAGTTAGTGTTCTTCGTAACAGCTGGTATGGTGCTGTGTTTTGGATTTGTGACCAAAACAGTCTTGGTAACACACCAGTGGTTTTTCTGTTGCTGAACCATGCTTGCACAGCATCAAACCCTTCTGTTTCTTGTTCCTCCCTGACCCGCCCCTCCCCACCACCACTTCCCCCCAGGAATAGGCTGAGGGTGGGTGAGGCATTGCAAGGGGGATACAGCTGGGACAGCTAGCCAAGGAGAGATCCCATGACCTATAATGTCATGCTCAGCAGTAAACTGGGGAAGGGTTTGGGGGGGTGGGGATGGGTGGATTTCTCCGAAGTAGCTGTTGCTTGGAGACTGGTTGGGCATTGGTCTGCTGCATTTATATCACTGTCATCTGTGTGGGGTTATTTGTTTGGTTTGGGTTTTTTGTTTGTTTGGGTTGTTGTTTTTTTTTTTCTTTCTTTATAAGAAGTGAACTGTCTTTATGTTGACTTTTAAGTTTTTCTTGTTTGTTGCCCTTTCAATTCTCTTCCCCCACCTGGCTGTGGAGAAGCAAGTGACTGGGTGAGGGCTTAGTTGCTTGCTGGGGTCCACCCCCACCATGCTTGGGTGAATTTGGACAATGCTCTCTGGTCTTGTGCCTTCACTGACAGAAACCAGTCGTCCAAAACACACCTGATAGATACTGTACTAATGGCATCCTGTGTTGCATCCTGTTGTGGCTATATTCGTATCTTCTCTCCTTTCTTCTTTTTTAGGAATATGTTTATCCAGAAGCCAGAGACAGACAGTATTTATTATTTTTCCATAAAGGAGCCAAAAAGACACGATTTGATTTAGAGAAATACAATCAACTCAAGGATGCAATTGCTCAGGTAACAAGAATTTTTCCAGAAATAAGACAAATTACTGTTTGCTAGTTCTTAACTGCTTTAATAGGTGTACCTCAAACAAGAATGGATATATCTTAAGTTTTCAGCCCGTTTTCTTTTTACAGCCCCAGTGCAGCCACTGAATTGGCTTTGGTATGCCCAGGAATAGACCTGCTGGATGTGTAAATGAACATGAAACGGTTGCCTTTATCTGTAAGGGCCTTTTAGAAATTGCTGGCAAATCTTGAGTTGCTTCAGGCATTTTATGCCTCAGAGGAGCCTAATTCAAGATTTCCTTTCTTCTCAGCTCCTACACACCAGATGGATTTAGTGAGGAATGAAGACTTGCATCCATTCAGTTCATGTCTTCCTGGCATGGGGCACTTCAGTGCACTGGTTGCAGTCCTGGGAAACAGTGTTTAAAAAATTTAGCTGTATTGTTAGAGGCAATGGGGACAGATTTCTCAATCTGGAGACAGACGCTCTTGGCAAACTGTCCACAGTGTGGGATCTGTTCAACAAAGGAGTCAGTTAGAGATCTTTCCTCGTATTTCTGAGTCTTCCTGTAGAAGGATTACATGAGTAGGAAAACCAGAGCTACCACATTCTTTTTCACTTGCCCCACATCGTTTCCATGCTCTGGAAATGACAGCGTAGGATATCCAGGGCAAGATGTATTTTCCACCTGCTTTGGAGAAGGAGCTGTGCGAGGAGTAGGGGGAGGTCAGGGCAAAGTTCTCTTGGTTTAATGCAAAAACCCAGGAAGACCTCTGAATTTTCTCATTTCTCATGCTGTGTTGAATATGGATACCCTTGGGTGGCTATATTTTGTGGAGTTTTTCTTGTGGAATGAACCATTCCCCATAATCTAGTTAGTTGGGGTTTTTTGGTGAGTTGGTTTGGTTTTGGTGTTTTAATTTAATTTCTATTCTAAATTTTAGTAAAAAATATTTTTATTT